TTCTTTCTGGAAGCTTGAGGAGAGAATCCACTTCTTTGCCTATTTTAGCGTCTGGAGGCTGCCTGCGTTCCTTGGCCTGTGGCCCCCTTTCCCATCTTCAAAGGCAGCGGCATCACGTCTCTCTGACCCTTCTTCCTTCTTCGTGGCTTCCAGAGCCATTCCCTCTGGCACCAGCCGGGCAAGCGTCTCTGCCTTTGAGGACCGGTGTGATTAGATTCGGGCCGTCTGGGTAACACAGGGTAATCTCCCCCGTCTCAAGGCCTTTAATCACACTCACTCCACACGGCAGAAGGGACTTGGTAACATAGTCACAAGTTCTGGGAAACAGGCCACCGGCATCTTTAGGGGAGCAGTTATTCTGCCTGCCACAGTTAGACTGGTTTTTTTCTTTTTGAATTTAAGGGGAAAAGCCATTCAAATCAATAGTGTCTCTTAATTATTATCTCATTCATGGGCTTCATAGCAGGATTTTACTGTTCTGTCGGGGTCCCCTTTGCACCTAAAGAGGTCTGGCCTAATTATCCGCCCACACCTCCACCGAGCAGGAAGTCTGTCTTCTCAAATTCAGTCCAGTGCTGAGGCCAGTGGTAACCTCCGGATGAAAAGGGGTGAAAGACTGGTGAGAATTCTGTTGTTTTCAAGGCTAGTGTTTTACAGCTTGGGCGGCACGGGCTGTTTATCGGGATTCCCTACTTTGGCAATTTGGGCCTATAGAGGAGGTCCGTTCCAGTGGGAGCCCTCACTCCTGGTTGGATGGGTGGCTGTTCTTTTCACAGCTTCTCATTATAACCGCTCAGTCTGCTTCAGTTCGATAGGCCACTTGTGTCAGGGTTTTAGTATCATCCACACTCAGCAAGTGAGCGCAGTTAAAACGTGAGACGCATGGTGACCACACAGGCCTGAGTTTTAACAGAAAATGAGGGAAGTGGTTTAGGCTGACACCTACGAGTAAGAGCCTTCATCAGCTTAATGATGTCAGGGTTTCAAGGTGAGGTGTGCACTGGGGAGAAGAAAACTGATATTTTAGATTCTAGAAGCTCAGCAGCTCAGGTTGATAAACATATTTTCTTTCTTTAAAAAAAATTCCACTTACTATAACTCCTTGAATTACAATTATGTTTGATATTAGAGACCCCTCCTAGTTCAAATGAGTGACAGATTCTGGATCAGGATTTGCCTCATGATTTTCCCCCTTCATGCTTTACAAATGAAAGAAATCTTACTTTTTAAAAAATTTTCCTTCAGGTTTAACCAGACTATTAATTGCATTCATATCCACAAGGAGGCTGAGCCCATGAGGTTCTCTTTAGGAGGCAAGAGTGTAAGGGAATAAATATGTGCCCCAGATCTCTCCATCCTTTGGCTGAAATATGTTTGGGGTATGGCGTTGCTAAGAACACAGTGTTCTGTCCCTTGTGCTGTTCTGGTGTGCGAGGTGAAATGGTACAGATGTTCAATTGCTAGCTACACAGCATCTTCTTCTGGTCATTGTTTTTCGAGATCTCACTGTCTCAGTTTTAGCTAAGGACATGGGCTTGTTGGTCATGAGGGTTTTCTGTAGGCAAGTGTTCCATGTCAGATGATGGTGTTGATCTTTGTTTATAGGAAAGTTTTAGAGCATGGGTCTAGGAGAAGGGTGATTGTCCAAAAGCCAAGCCTGAGACAGACACCAAAAAGAATGGTTTTGAGTTTTGCTGTGGGGAATTGGGTTTGTTCCTGCCCTGATTCTCATCTCTGCTGTTTCAGTGAATGAAATATTCTTCACCTTCTGCTTTGGGAACCTCAGAGACGTGTCCCCTTTGGTTATATCTTCTCTCTCCTGTGACTTCTGCTTCTTGTCTCTACTCTCCAACATACCCAGGCACTCCACTGTGTCCCATTTGAAAATGAATAACACTTTTCTCAAGCCTACATCTCTCCCTTACTGCCGTGCTATTTCCTTCCTTTAGAAGCCAGTTCTCAGAAAAGCAGAATCACATCTAGCAAAATCCTCTGGTGCGCAGATTCCCACGTAGTCCCACCCTGACTGTATTCTTCCCAGGCTCTGCGGGATTGCTGTGGGGAAAGGTTCAATGGATACTTCAGTCCTCGTCTTACTTGGACTCTCTGCTGCTTTTGTTTTGACATCTTGACCATCACTGTGCCAGTGATACCATCTCTTCTGATATTCCTTTGTTTCTGGCCACTTCTCAGTTTCCTTTCCAGACTCTTTCCCTGGCCCATTCTATTTTTTTTAATGCATTTTGAAAAATTGAAGTACTGTTGATTTACAATATTGTGTTAGCCTTAGCCCATCCTTAAATGCGGGTGTTCCGTAGCCTCTTGGCTTCTCCCTTTGCTTCTGCACCCTCTCCCTGGGTCATCTCATCTACTTCTGTGGTCTCTTCAATCCAAAGACACTGCTTCCCAAGTCTTTCCCCCAAGTCCAGATCTATGTAATCAGCTGCCTTTTGCACAGTACTGCCTGGCTGTCTCAGGTATCTCTCAAGTCCAACACATCCAAACCGTGACCATCATCTTCCCAACCAAATCCATCTCTATGCTGTCATTCCCTCCCTAGAGCCACTGCCCTCCACCCAGTGCTTCTCCCTCCTCTGTGATTTCTTCTGCCTGTCCCCATCTAGTGAGTTATGCCCTCTTAATGTCGCATGACTGTATTTACGTCTTCTCTCTCTCAGCCCCTGACACTTAATCTCCGCTGGTTTAATTCAGTGGCCTTTTAGCTGCCTCACTTAGAGCACTCTCATTCCATACCACACCCCTGCTTGAGCGACCTTTCAAAGACAATTGGTCAGGTCATTAATCTTTTTTAAGAATCAATCAACAGTCATAATAAGTATAATCAGTTTTTACTCAATGATCTGTGAAACTGAGACACTGTCTGAAGATGACGGGCTCGGAATTCCTAGAGGCTGTCATTAGCATCACCAGAAGGAGTCTTTGCTTCCGCTGAGGTGCTCTGATGTCGTTAGTATCCACCTCCCAGTTCAAAACTGCGTGTTTACCGAAACCTCTCTCTTTGCTTTTCAGAATGACATTTTCCTCAGACATTATGACAAAGGGCCGTGTAGGAATAAACTCGGCCACTCGAGAGCCTCAGTGATGTGGAACCGAACACAGGTACCCTGACCCGAAAAGGAGCATGAGAGAAACCAGACTTAGGATGACTGAAAAAGCGCAGTTGGTCATCCTCCCCACTCTGTTCCCTCTTACCCCTCCCTCCCAGCCCGAGAGGTTCCGGGGGTTCAGGGGCAGAGCAAGCGAAAGGCAATGGAGCGAGTGCCTGACGTTAATTCACGGGTGCCGTCTCCTAGAGGAGAAGCGAAGGGGCCGGGCCACGGGGCAGCCAGGGAAGTAACAGTGACCTGCAGGATGAAGGTGGATGCTCTTTCCTCCTTAAAAAAAAAAAAGTGATAGGATGACTTTCCTAAAGCCCTCTGCTGTGAAAGGCAGGGCTCTGACACCCCACGAGCCCCTGCTGGGGCTCAGATCCTTTTGTATACACCTCCATGTGTTTACAATGGCAGGTTCAAAGGGAGTCCTGGTTTATTTTTAATAATATTTTGTAGTTATTGCACGCCGTATTCCTTTGGAGGGAGTCCGTGTTAATAGCTTAGTCACCATTATGAACAACCCTCTGAGACGGTTGAGGACGCTCGGGTGGAGCGAGCCAATGCCAACAATCCACGGTCACTTGGAGCTTGCATCGGAGCCCGAGTTAGCGTTTGGCTTGCCCTTCTCACCTTTGATTGAGTCCTTGGTGTCTCCCTGGTTTAGATCCAGTTCAGACCAATGCTGGGCACCAGCTAAAAGTTCCCATGATTGTAACTGCTGTATGTGCCTGAGATGGTGTCCTCATCAGTTCTGGCTGCTGTCACAAATTACCGTAGACCGGGCAGCTTAAACAGCAGAAATGTATTTCTCACAGTTGTGAAGACTGGAAGTCTGAGATGGGCAGCGGCGTGGTTGGGTTGTGGTGAGGACCCTCCACGGGGTGTACTGTTGACTGTCTTCTCACCGTGTCCTCATGTGACAGATAGTGGAGAGAGAAGAAGCAGGCTCTCTGGTGTCTCTTCTTCTAAGGGGACTAATCCCATCATGAGGACTCCAACCTCATGTCCTAATGACCGACCAAAGGCCCCCATTTCCAAACATCATCATATCGGGGACTAGGGTTTCAACATAAGAATTTAGGGGAGGCACAGATGGTCCACAGGTGGTGGTAGAGTAAACACATAGGAAGATTTAACTGCTGAAATAGGCTTTTCTTCTGCATTTCCAGGTGGTCGGGATTCTTGTGGGATTGGGCATCATTGCCTTGGTGACTTCACCCTTGCTGCTCCTGGCTTCCCCTTGTATAATCTGTTGTGTCTGCAAGTCCTGCCGGGGCAAGAAGAAAAAGCACGACCCATCCACAACCTAAAGCTCTCTGTCTGTGTCCATGTGCCAGAGATGTCTGGGTCGTACGAGACAGCACAGTGATAAAGCCCCACTTAGTGAACTCGCCTCCTCCTCCTTGCCAAACTTTGGAAGTGCCTCTGTGTCCAGACTTTGAACTTGCCTGCCCACCTTTGGCATCCAGAAAGGCCAAGCACTGATGTGTGTTCCCGTGTAAAGATAACCAGGTTCGACAGTCCAGGTTGTGTCCACGGAACATGTCGGGAAGCTTTGGGGTCAATGGGGAGGAACTTAACACATCACCATGTCATCATCCGAAGGATCCCACTGGACTATTCAACTTCCAGCCAAATCCAAGGAGCCCGAAGGAACATTCGGTGTAATAAAGGTGTTGTCACGGCTGGCAACACACTTGATAACTGAGGAGCCAGTCTGTTCTGTGTTGATTTGACCACCATGAGAAGCATGGGGGAAAACCTCATGTAGCAGGGGAAGGATAAGACTGTTGAAGGGGAAATTCTTAGAAGAATTAGAATTCTTATAAGAACGATAAGAGGGCTGCTTATCTTGCTATGGTGGTTCTGCCCCTGCCGGTTACTGGGTGTGCTGTTCCCAGCGTTCTGCCAGTAACTTGGCAGAAACACAATCGGTTTCTCCTTGTGTGATCTCAGCTTCAAGCTGGAGAAACTGCTGTGCAGAGGGAGTTGTCCCTTCCCAGGAAAAGGGCTGCTGCAGGTAAAACAATCTGGTCTGAGTTAGTATCTCTCCCCTGGGTGGTAAACCTCTCTTCCAGCCAGTAGCTGTGGTCTACAGGATTGTTTTTATGAAGTCTGAGTAGTGTGGCAGAGATTAAAAATTGTCATCAGAGGTAACAGGGACCTTTCTTGAGCACTCTGTTTAGGCACCCAACAGATTTAGAACTGGACCTAAAAGTATACACCAAGCGTAGATATTAAAATCCTTGGGGACATCTAGAATCCATGTAACTTGCTGCCTGCCCAGAATTTTTATTCACTGGATGTGCACAGATATACCCAATGGTACACGTGAAATAAATGTTTACTTAAAAGCCATTCTGTCTTTCCTTCTGGGACTAATATGGTTCATTATAAATCAACCTAAAGATTTTTTGCATATTATATATATAAATTTTAGTTACAAGTTCATAAGTTCCCTAAAGGTTTCAATTCATAGATAAAACTCTTCATACAGTCCTTAGTATGATATCATACCATCTCGGTGTGTAAAACACTAATTGAAAGTCAAGTTATTTACGTATTTTCAAATACGATTCAGAGCAGCTCTCTTCCCAGCAAAGTTGTGCTCTTTCAACATCTGTTAGGGCAATCGAAGTGCTTTTTGTATGTACAGGGCGCTGATAAAACAACAAAAAATACCTAAGAAATAAAATGCAAGTGCTTTATATGTATCTCAAGTAGTTAGGATTTGCCTCACCTCACTGTGGCTTATTTTTTCCCATTATACTGTGAGTCAGATTTTGAGTAAATGAGTTTTGAAAAGACAACACCTTTTACTCTAATGACAGAATTGTGTAACTGCCATTAGCAGTGTAGCCCGGTGCTTCGCGAGGACCGTATTAAATGTTAGTGGACAGCGCTCCTTGAAGCTGGGGCACCACATCGGGAACTGTCAGGACCTGTGATGTTTTCTGAGGTGAGTGGGTAACTAGACTATTAAATTGCTGCTATCCCGGACCTGTTATTAAAGAATGATGCTTTGCCAATGTAATGGAATGTATCCTAAGTGGGGATGTGTATATTTAAGGAGCTTTAATTCACGTGTACATATTGGTATCTGATATATGTATAGTACGTCTATTGGCCTTGTGCATTTTTATTTACAGTTTGTATAGAACACAGATGAGAACTCTGGGACGACTTTTGAATGGCAACCAACCAAAAAAGATTTTTAATCATGCGTTAGAAATTTCTCAATATTAAATGTCTTTATTTTCCCTTGACACTCTACAAACACTTCAGAAAAAAAATCGGTATCTTCTATCACTGTATTTCATATTGGTATAAGTAGAAATGTACATAGATTTGAATAATTTGCTTTGTCTTACACTGCCTCATTATAGTGCAGGGCATTTTTAACTGCTCAGGGGATCACAGGAACTCAGCTGAAATTGAATTTTTGTATCAAAATTGTCAGCCTTGGCAATATATTCTTTCATTAGTGTACCCTCCAAGATGGTTCCTTAAACAGGGGCTTATTTCAAGTAACCTGAAATGCTGTGTTACCAGAGGCAGAGCTCCTGAATTTGGAGTAAAGGTGGAAGAAAACATCTCTGTTCTTTCCTTGGCTAAATTGGAGGAACTTGTCCTCTCACCGAGATCCTATGAACGAATTAGCTTACTTTTTTTTTTTTTTTTGTAGGGGATGGGGAGTTGGGGGGTGTTTGTCAAATAGATTTAAAATAACTGGATTTAAGTTTTTAAATGTTAAAAAGTGCCTGAAAAATGGTGACGTCTTCCTTAAATCGCTAGCTTGTGTGAGATTTTCAGAATCAACAGGCACAGGTTGGTTGGTTAAAACCCAAATATATCTCCGGTGCATCAAAGGGCGAGTTGCAGGGCAGCCTAGAGATCTTGTTTATAACGGGGAAAGCTGACAACTTTGATAACAGAGACTGATGTTTTCATTTCCGATAACTGGCCAGAGAAAAGGTTTAACCTTGTCTCCTTCCTCTCTCTGTTTATCAGTTCTATCCTTTCCCGGTAGCCTTTCTGTTCTAGGAAGAAATAGGGTGTCTATGTAATACTATTTGGATGTTGTGGCAAAAATCTTTTTGTGTTTGGAGTAGTGGAGGCCATTTGAAATAGAAATTTAAAAAAAAAATTTCTTCACTGCCTTGTAATCTGGGTGGAATAACTCACCTTCCAGAAAAACTATTGGATGGAATGGCACAACATCTAGCTGTCGCCCCTTCTAGGAATTTTTTTCCTTGTTATTAGGTAGGGAAGGTGGGAGAGGAAAGCCGTATGGAAGCAAGTTTTAGACTTTTAAGCATCCTGTTTGTTCATGCCGTGGATATTTGTTCCAGACTTTAAATCTTTAGTTTGAAAGAGGCCTTTGAAAAACAATTCACCGTGTGAATTTTCTTGTAGCTCGCATCACAAGACTCTTACCTATCCAGGTTTGAAAATCTACACGCTTATTTGAATGTGAATCACTGTTTCTTGGAGCTCCAAATTGTCTCTTAAAGATGATAAGAATCTACGTATGTATTACTCTAGCCTTCCCTACACAGTGCATCTAAAAAACTTCCTGGTCATGAATGGATGCCTTTATGTATATAGAATTGTGTGTATATGTGTAGCTTTATAGACAGTTTCAGAATGCCTTAGATAAATGACATTTTATAAAGCTGTTACAATTGATGTCTGTAGGCTATTACATCTCATTTAATTCATGATTTAGAAAGTTTTGTTGTGTATTTAAGAAATTGCTGTTGTGTTATATTTTTCCAAGTATTGGAGAGGAGAATAGCTGTTTTAGTCTTTCTGGCCCCAATAAATGTGGAGCAGGAAATCAAGTGTGTTTATTTTTTGTTACGCTGTATACTTCTAGACACATTCAATTTTATCATCCAGGAGCCAACCAAATCACTATTAAACCTTAGGTTCAGAATGGACAGAAAGCACCCAAATCTACAATGCCATGTACAGAAGACACTCTTGCTACTTTGCTTCTTATAAGAAAGGGGAGCAACTGTTATACCCTCGCTTGTTGCACGGTCTTTTGTTGTATGTGTGATATTCCACTGGTTAACAACTCAAACGCATGTCATTGCAAAACTAAAAGCTCACGTTCCTATAGTGGTGTTGATGCCCTTTTATTGAATGTTATATGCTTCTAATATGATACCTGAGAACAAAGGTTTACAATTGACTTATAATTAGAATTTCATGTTCTGAGTTTTCAGTTTTGGGAAATCAGTAAGATCATTTAAAAACATGTTTGGGTTATGGTTTCTTAATTTGCTTAATCATCTCCTAGAATGCCAACATGATTTCATTTTTGAAGTCTGCTTATTATTTGCTGAACTTGAATTTGCATTCCCAAAGAATTATTGAATGAACCATTTTATACAGCAGTGATTTTAATTAATCCCCTAACCAGCAAACTCATTGCAATGTAAATTATGAATCTAGTGAGTCTGGAGAATTAGAATTAGGTTTTTCTGTAATTCAATTATTTTCATTTGTTAGATAGTAAATCTAGTTTTTTTTTTTAGGCCTTAAAGATAGTATCCAGCTCTACATTATGAGAAAGAAATGAATTTCTTCAAATAATTTAATAGCAATTATAGTGTATTATTTATATATTTATATATGTGGGTTTTTTTTTAAAGAACTTTCGAGAACAATCTTATGAGATAAAGGGAGCAGATTTTGGATCTGTTTCATAGAGAAAGCAAAAATGGTTTTGTGTTCGTGTCTTGCCAGGGGTCATACTGCTGATGAGTGGTAGCTGGAAAAAAAATGCCAAACTCCTTGAAAGCTGTTCTTTCATCAGCCAGTAATTCTGAGCTTGCCTTTACTGTTGTGTGTGAGTCCCAAGAGAATGTCCTCCTGTCTCAGTTGTCTGCATATTCAGTGGAGGCATATGTAAGATATAATTTATTATTTCAAATAATCATTTAGAGTCTGGGTTGTAGTTTGTCTGAAAGCATGCCTAGGACAAAGGGCCACCCCCTGAGATCATCCCCAGTCACCCCCCTGGGGTTCAGCTAGAGGGGAGGGGCAGGAGACAGGAGCTGGAAGGTGATTCATTAGAGAAATAACGCAGTGATGTGCATCTGACTTGCTAATACTGGAACTGGAGTTACAGCTGGGTCAAAGTACTGACTCCAAAAGCCAAACTGTTCACCTCTTCCCCACAAATCCGAGCTACATTGTCATCAGTTCCTTTTAATGTTTATAATAAAGACTCAAAGTGATTAACTCGGATCCAGATCGTCCCCTGTTGACATTACTAGCTTGTACTCGAAAGGGCATTTATGGCCTCACATTAAATAAATCAGTCGATTGGCAGTTTCAGAAGCAACAAATGGGGTTCTAAATAATGAACTTCATGAATTTCTGATCTGTGTAAAGAAGTGCTTTGAATTCCATTTTCTCCCTTTATGTCTTTCAGTTTTATCGGTTTTCCTTTTTTTTTTTGGGGGGGGGGGTTAAAACTGGGATCCAGGCTTTTGATGAGAAGCATATTAAGTCGGACATTAGCCATTTTGTCTTGTGGTTCCTTAATGCCTGGGCATGATTTGAGGGGATTATTTTCTTCTGGGGAGAGTTGACATTAATGCTGTTGAACACATTTAAATAAAATGAATATGAAGGTTTTCTCGAGGTGAGTTGTGGGACTTTTGATTATTCAGTAGCCTGGACTAATTTTTCTGAAGCCAAGCCAGTTTGTTTAACTAAAAGCAAACAGGTCCAGAAATCCACACACTGTCCAGCATGGTGTGTCCCAAATTCTAGTCTGGCCCCAGTACTCTGACATCACAAGGGCATGTGAACAGAGCATCTGGAGAAAGTTGGTAAATCTGTGTCACCCAGGGCACAGAACAAGCCGGTGATGTCCTCTGTTCTCCCTGCCCTCTGCCAGTCCGGGCAGTGCGAGGCTGGGGATCAGACACCCAGCTTGCAGTGAGATGGCTTCAGTTCCAGGCCTGGCTTTGCTTGACTGGTGGTGTGGTTCGAGGCCAGCCATTTATCATACAGCACCATTTCAGCTGTCTTAGCTCAGGCTTAGAAGCTCAAAGTGAGATCACAAATGTCAAAATGCTTCTAAGTGCTGTTTGCTGGGAGAGGAGAGGGAGCCCTTGTACTGCGTGTGCTGAGTCTGGGCAACAAGCTTTCAGCCAGACGCTGTTCCCTAAGAGAGGAGGGTCCCAAAATGCATTTTAAGCTTATGAATGTGTGTTGAGGGAGGAATAACCTCCTTGATAAATATGTTGTCTTTTTAGATTTAAGATTCCTTTATGTCGTTTTTTCACAAATATTTTACAAGCATTTGGCAAATTTTATGCGCCATTAAAATGGAAGATACATGGAGAGAGAAATGCAGAATTCATATCAACACAATAGGTTTTTCTGGGGAAGAGATTTATTGTGGAAACTTGCATTTACAAGATGCCTGATGGTGTGCAAAGTACTTTCAAACATGCTTCCCTTTGCTCTTTGTACTATTCTAGAAAGTGGAAATTAATATGCCCCTCCCCCGATTTACAGATGGGAGGTGAGACTCACGGACCAGGTGGCATGGTGCAAGGTTATGTGGTGGGTTGGTGGCAAAGCTAGAATTTGAATCCACATCTTGCATGTGCCTGCCCCAGGAACTCCTAGCATTATATTCATTTTTAAAACAGTGGCTTAAAGCAACACATTTATTAATCTAGTTTCTGTACATCAGAAGTTTGGCAAGATGTAGCTGAGTTCTCTGCTCAGGCTCTTCCCCAGCTAAAGATTAAAGTGTTGGCCCAGGTGTGTTTTCACCTGGGCTCGGGGTTCTTGTCCAGGCTCACTGGTTGTTGGCAGCATTCACTTCCTTCTCACGCCTTCCGGGTGGTCCCCTCCATCTACAAGCCATGTCTAGTCCTTCCCATAACTCAGATTCTTTTGACATCTGCTGCTGCTGCATCTCTCTGACTTCCATCATGTTAAATTCTAAAGTGGCCAATGGGAACGTGTTTTTCATTTTTCAATAGGAAATTTAACGTTCTGCTGTTTCTGTTTCTCGGCCACGTGAAACCAAGCTGTCTGCGGATAGAATCGTATTAGCTAGAAGAACTCACAATCTCAGGGAAGCGTTAACAGCATATCTAGCTTCCTACAAGGGAACTGTTGATCTAAAGTTTCTGTTAAGCCTGGCATGGCCAAGGTGTTAACAGTAGCCCTGCTTCTGGCTGGCAGCTTTCGGAGGTCCACTTGATCTTTACATGAGACAGATTTTCCCAAATGGGCTTAGAAGAAAATCTGATCTCATCTTTCTAAACAAATCTTCGGAAGATTCAGGACTGGAGTGAATCTTGTGTTGGATTCAGGAAGGACAACTCCTTTCAAGAGCTGGCTTAAAGTGCAGGATGGCGTTTCTACCCAAGTCAGACCAATAGAGCAATGGATTTCAGTTAACCAGTGCTGTCTGTTGTTGAAGGACCTACGCCAAAAGTCAAGGTCATTACTTCTCCCTTTCTCCTGTCCCAGTGCAGGAATATAGACCCTGACAAGATGCTTCAGACGTTTTTAAACTAGAATGGCCATTTTTCTGACTAAATGGAAGACTAGAGGGCGGTGTGAGAGCTCTATTAGCCGCTTTCAGCTTCGTACAACACACCATTCATCTTGGCCTCAGTTTCCTCATCCTAGAAGGTCAGAAGTGATTGCTTTCTCGGTCCAGTTCAGATCTAACCTTTCATGTAAGATGGAAAGGATCACCAGCACCCATCGCAAGCCTCACATACACGAGAAGAGCACACAAGAGGGAAATTCTCCTTAGTAGTCAAGGAATTGGTAATTGCCCAAAGAAGCTTCCAGGCGCAGAATTAAAGATAATTCCAGAAGCATGTGAAATATATTGAAAGTTTATTTAAAATAGGCAAATTCAAAGAACAGTGATTGAACCACATTGGTTTGTTTATAGCTCTTGATGGCTCAAAAGACAACAAAAGTTGGCAAATTTTTCAGGGACACGTTTCCTCTAGTACTTTTATTAAAAACAACAGAACCTTGGTATCCTTATTTTAAGCACACAATGGACTATTTATTCTGAGTGTGTCAGTCAAACTCAGTTGCTTGGTACTGATTAATTTTTTTCCGTATTTCCTGTACACATGGCATGTTCTGTAAATTGAATTAAATTTCAGGTACATATGTATACGTGTTAATGAATGTTATATAGAATACTATATATGATAGTATGTCTATCTATGCATCTGTAGTGTGCGTGTGTGTGTGTATGTCTGAATGAACAGGAGACAGGTGGATGAGCACATCTACTTAGGAACAAAGAAATTTTTATTCAGACTTAAATAATACATTTTATTTTAAAAAGTAGAACACAAGACTACTGGATCTCAAAAATAGTAAATTAAAAAGTAAATTTAAATATTCAAAAAATGCTTTAAAATGCTGATTTTTAAACTAAAATGTGTTTACTTGTCCATGTATTACTTGAAACCCAGAATAAGGTTTCTTTCAAGTGATTGCTTCCAATTGTGACAAAATGTTTTGATTTAGGGCTTTTAACATTTGAGTTTTTTTTTTAACATTTGAGATTTAATTTTAAGAGTGGTCACACTAAAACTCATTTCTAATATTTAAATCTGATGTCACAAATATAACCAAGGAAGTAAAACAAAGACTTGAAAAAAAATCTTCAGGCTTAATTTCTATTACTCATTTTAATAAAAACAAAAATGTGTGTTGATTGCATCTTTAAATGAAAATGAAGTGGGGCGGGGAAGGAAAATGACTGTATTCTTTCCCTATCACCCATTCCTGATCTATAGGGTGTTTCTCAAACA